CAAGACGAGGGGTAAACCGCTGACCGAAATCATGTACACCAATGCCTGCACGGAGAGAATTTTCTCTTAAAATTTGCCCTGAAAATCATGTAATCGTGGCATTTTGAAGAACTTTATGCGAGTTTTTTGAAATTTTACCATACATTTTACTAGTAATTAAACTTCGTATACGTCTTTTTAGTAGAACGTATGGTAAAATTTCAAAAAAGACTGTCATAAAGTTCTATAAAATGCCTGTTGTCCCACGATTACATGATTTTCAGGATAAATTTTAAGAGAAAATTCTCTCCGTGTTGGGCATTGTTTTATCTTATTATCTTATTTTATCTTTGAAATGTGCTCCAGCAAGGCCTAATGCCCAAAAACTGTCTAGTAATGACCAGTATCGCAAATCTGTACACCACAATGCCCTCAGCGGTTTACCCCTCGATTCAAGACAAAGTTAAACGTAAGTTTAAGTAAGCTTTAGTGCAAGCAATCAAATTCGCTATGAGACGAAACCAAAGATATACGTGCATAAGTTCGAGAAAGCGATAGAGAAATTACGCGGCTGTGCGAGAAAATGTCGTACTTTTTGAAATAATTTTACAATCATGCGAAATTAGAATTATAATTAATAATTTCGAAATTGCCGTAAATAAAAATTGCGTAATTAATTTCAGAATTGTGTAACATTATAAATCACAGTTAGTGATTTCAGAGTTGCGGGAAATGAAATTTTGAAATAAATTCAATATTCTTCTTAAAAAGAATTGCCTCTTAAAATAAATTTAATAAATTTGTAACAATTTGTTCAAGGTGCCTTCGGCTGATCTAACGGGAAATGCTTCGAAGAAACGTTGCGTGCAGGAATTACAAAAGACTCGCTGGCGACTGACGAATTTCTAATCCACGAAATCGCCAATTCTTTTACCTTTTCTGGTGAGAAAGAATCGAGCAATAAATTCTATATAAGAGTACGTCTATTGTTTCTGTTATCTCCTCAATTGTCAAACTTTAACGGTAAATCTCGTTTGTAGGAGAAGAAAAACATTCTCAGATGACAAGCAGCTGGCGCATAATCATATTCTCGAACTTTTCTCCCCCCGAGCAATGCCGATTATAGACTCGCGCGATTCAAACCGCAAATAAATCAACGATCGCTTAAAAGCCACTTCGCTAATCAATCGCACGTGAGATCCGTGCTCGGGTCGCTCTTGCGCCCAGGACTATCCCCTCGACATACCGACGGAGATAAGCGGGGCGATTAATTCCGGTAACGAGAACGACGAATAAAATAAGTTACAATTCACTCACCGTCCGGCGACCGCCGCTCCGTCGTTGCCCGGCGCTTCCTCGAGACGCTCCTCCTCCTCCTCCTCCTCCTCCTTCTCCTTCCTTGTCCAGCCGTTGTCGCTCCTCCATGGCGGTCGCGGAGCACCGGCACCAACACTCGCGGAAACGACGGTAAAACGACGGACACTCCCGGGGCGCTGACAGAGAACGCCGTGTAAACGTCGTCACGTCGCGAGACGCGCGCGCGATCCGAGACACTCGCGACATCTCGCAAATCGACGAGTGAATCTCAAACGCCGCGCCGGCAGGGAATTCGAAACTCGCGTCGCCCGATTGCGCGCCAAACGGCAACCCCCGCGCGGTTGTCGTCCTCGGTCGCGGCGCCGTTCTTTCTTCGTCTCGAACGACGGATGTTGCTCGAGACGTCGCGCCCTCGATTCGCGTTATCAGAGCGATTGAAACAAACGCGGGATATGACGGACGCGACGAGCGCGGCAGCTCGCGATCGCGAGACGAGCGTTACAGCTCGAGACGTCGCGCGTCGGCTCGCGTTTTCAGGACGATTGAAACAAACGCGGAATATGACGGACGCGACAGCTCGCGATCGCGACGAACGTACGCGGACCGCTTAGTTTCCAACGACGGACGTTGGCTCGAGACGTCGCGCGTCGGCTCGCGTTTTCTGGCCGATTGCAAGAAACGCGGAATATGGCGGATACGACGCGGCGCGACAACCGAGTAGACGCCGCGAAATCGGCGTCGCCGATGAATGCACTCACCCCGTTACTTATTGTTTGGCCACGCGGGTGCCGAGTCGTGGGGTTAATCGGGCCGTGTTAGCCGATTTGTCGCGCGACCCCGATGCCGATCCGTTCCGCATCGGTGACCGACGGTTGGACCCGTTGGACTGAGAACTTGGAGGAGAGCGACGCGGGGCAACTTCACGCCGCTGTCGCGCGACACGGCGCGAATCGATTCGATATCTAATCGAGACGAACCGGACGATTTGAAAGTACGGAGATATTCGGTATCGTGATGTATCTCCGACGCTGCAAAACGCGTAGCAAGTAGCAATCTTTATAATAATTCCACAGTTTCCCAACAAAACGCACAATTAAACGTTTTTGTTTTTATATCGCACACACCGCGCTGCAGAGAGGAAACGTACTTGCGAGAAAGTAACGTAAATCGAATAATATCTTAATTCCCGTGGATCTTTTCTTCAAACGTAATCGCTACATAATTACATATATAAATTTCAAAGGTGAATAGAATCTCGAAGATCCCGCGCGAGTAAAAAATTAAGTTTAATAAAGCTTAATAAATTAAAGCTCAATACATTCCTCTCCGCTTTTCGCTACATTTCTTACTGGCGATATTCACGTATTATTCCGCGCTTTCGGAATAAAAAGGAAATTACGATCGAGCCACACGTCCGAGTCGAAGCGTCAAGAAAGCAATTAAGTATCGCGGCGAGACGGTAACGCGCGACTCTGCGTGCCGGATACCTGAATCTTCCCTCGTCCTCTCGATTCTCATCCCGAGTAAAGTTACGGATCGCGCGATGACACCAGCTTCCCGACGACGATAGGATCTTTAATCGCGAGGATGTAATTCGTGTAACGAGGATAACAATCGCGATTTCGCACCTGGCAAGATAACAAAGCGATACGCGCCGCTGCCGGTCCAGGTCGAGGACGATTGTGCACGACGACGGGATCTTTAATCGCGAGGATGTAATTGTGTAACGACGGAAACGATCGCGTTTTCGCACCTCGAAAGATATAACAAAGCGATACGCGCCGGCCCGGACCGAAGACGATTGTGCACGCCGACGGGATCTTTAATCGCGAGGATGTAATTGTTTAACGATGGAAACGATCGCGTTTTCGCACCTCGAAAGATAACAAAGCGATAGGCGCCGCTGCCGGCCCGGGCCGAGGACGATTGTGCACGACGACGGGATCTTTAATCGCGAGGATGTAGTTCGTGTAACGATGGAAACGATCGCGTTTTCGCACCTCGAAAGATATAACAAAGCGATACGCGCCGGCCCGGACCGAGGACGATTGTGCACGACAACGGAATCTTTAATCGCGAAAATGTAACTCTTGTAACAATGGAAACGATCACGTTTTCGTACCGTGAAAAATAACGGAGTGATACGCACCGCTGCCGGCCTGGGCGAGAGCCCGCGAGCGAGTGATATTGCGGTGACTGATGACGCGTACGTACGCGCGCCGAGCCGCCGAAAGTTGTTTACGCCAACCTTGAATTCCAAGAAGTCGTGAAACATTGGATTCCAACGGAAAATGTTGGGTGTTTTTGTATCTTCAGTTTCAATTCAGCCGCTCAGGCGAGCACACGGCGGCGTATATCGTTTTTCATTGTTTTTCCGAGCGTGATCGCGATAGTTACTGACGAGTGCGAAACGAGTGCGAACGTGATCATTCTCTATTATAATTGTATTACAATTAGTGACTTTATCCGTGATATTGTTCATTGTGAAATTGTACGGAGATTGCGTGGAGTTTCATCGCCGGTCTGCTATCGCCAATGCATCGAAAGTGTTCACTGGCGCAGATATTGTAACTCATTCATTCGAAGTGAGAAACGAGAGGATACAGAAGGCACGTTATCGTTTTACCGATACTTATAAGAATAGTTTCGGTCGATATTTAAGAAAAAATTTGACGCTTTGAACAGAGTACGCTTTGACTATTCCGCTGGTTTGATCGTAATTTCGTTTTCATTCGCAAAACGAGAAATAAAACGGCATTACAATATATCCGCCAATAGATTTCTAATTAATTCGCGTAATTAATTCGACACTCTTTCTTAAAGAAAGAGAGAGAGAGAGGCTCTCCGTCGATCCTTCCGGCGGAATAAAAACAGAGATTCGGAAGCACTTCGGAACGAGAATAACGAGTACGTTCTACTCTATCCTATCCTACGAGAGAAATCTAAAAAGAACTGATCTAGAAGCATTGCTAAAGTATCGCGGATGCGGGAAGAGATCTAAAAAGATTGCCGCAGAACCAATTCCGTCGATTCCGCGTGGTAGAAATTCAATTTCGCGGAATGGACACGTGTCAATGTATCCCGCGGAATTCATTCGTTCCTCGCGAAAAATTCATGCGCTGTTATCTGACGGACGAAAATTACGCTCCCGTGGAAACGCTTAGTCGGTGCCATTGATGTCTTAATGCGGAACCCGCGCGAATACGCAATTAAGAAATGTATATCGATTACAATCGCGTTTATCGTGAGCGCGGACGCTCAGATTTGGCCGCGATAGCGCGGGAAATTGTGTGCTATGGGCAGATAATGATCTCGTAATCGGCGCTGCTTGCGGTATAATTATAACGCCGCCGCGATGGGGTATCATTTTTTTTTTTGCGCGCGATACATTTTCATGAAACGGGTCTTACCCTACATCGCGCCGTTATTAACCGCCGTGGAACCTTTCGCCGTGCACAACTTGCGAAACCATTCTCTACTCCGCGTCTAAATTCCTTGGACGATAAATTTCTTTTAATGTCATTTGCCCGTCGCGAATTTATTTTGAGTGAAAAATCCACGAAAGACTTTGGATTATCATGTATTTTTCATTTAATGTATAATAACGGAAGAAAAGAAAGGTATAATTAGTAGGATATAATTAAACATGGCGATGCATTAAAGCGAAGACGATTGTGCACGGCGACGATTACGAGACAATGGAAACTGGGGAATTAAATCAATAGCTTTATTCAATAGTTCAACAGTCGCCCTAAAAATCTTAATGCACATACAGCTGCATAATATGTACATTATAACAAAAATATTTTACATTTTTGGAATGAACAGCAGTCTTCTAAGTGCATTCCGTTGTACTATATTAGGCAGTAATACGCGCGTGTGCCGCACCGTTTCTAAACCAGGAGAGATCGTGTAAATGTTTCTTTGGAACGATTTTTGGTACGGATATTGAGTTCAGCTCAACTTGCTTTAAATTCACCTTAAGTTACTCTTTCATAGAATTTACATCACATATTTTACTATCCTTATCTTGTATATCACATTACAAAGAATTTTAATTATTTTAAGGAAACTTTCAGGCGTTAATTTGATCATTAAATCGTCCTTAGGCAATAGAGATCGTAAAAAATATGATTATATTCTTGCATCGGTATTAATACGAGAACTTTTAGTTGTTCTGTGTACAAAATTGAATAAATTCTTCAATACATTTAGTAATATAGCTCGCTTAAGCACGACCTCTCTCAGGTTACTATAATCAATTCAACTACCAGCATGAATAACTATCGTTATTCATGTTTTATACCACATAGAGGCCCCTTTGGATGGTATCCCGTCCACTTCCTGTAACTAACATCCATTGCCTTCTCCACGGTGTGGTCTATAGGATGTATTATGAAAGGAATGGACACCAGACCAATAAGCGTAGGGATCCAAGGCTTCTTCCAGGCCGCTCTCATGCTCTTCCTCTGGGCAAACTGAACCGCCGCGCAGATCCTGTTTATGGTAAAGCCGGGAATGATCACCGACGCGAATGACTGCCATATCAAAGTGTCCGACGTGGACAATAGAACATTTCTGGTCCTCTGTGGTGTAGCGTCCACCTGTGGCAATCAAAGCTGTTAAACGTCCGCTGATCACTTTCGCTCCGTTAAATTGTATACTCGTGCAGTACCTGGTAGACCTTTACGCCCTTGTGCACCGTGTCCGCGAGTACATATCCGCTCGATAACGCATAGCTGAACCATACGATGGACTTTGGCACGAGGCTCCTAAACGCTTCTCCGACCTCGTTGGCATAACCTAAAACATCCGTCAGTATGAAAGGAACTTGTTGAAATGATTTGCCTTATTGCTATTTTGTTATAATTGTCTGAAAATAAAATACGATGACTTGGCAGAATCGTGAGACGCAAAGCGGGAGAAGGATGACAGAAAATTTCGTTAACAGCGCTCGACGACCGCCTCGCCATTACCTAAGTATCTCACGTACGTGTCCCGATACAGGTCCACCTCTTCCCGATCGTTCATCATCCTAGAATCGTCGGTTTTCCGACTATCTCTCGCGTGATGACATAACCTGACGGCGCTTCGCGGCGTTCGGTGCCGAGGGAACTCTCGGCCACGGATGTCGGCCGATAAAATGTCTATAAAACCTCTTCTCTTCCTATTCTTATCTAATTGTAAGTACCTAGAAACTCGTAGAGACAACGTAACTCACGGAATTACGACGGGAAAAAGTACTCGAGGTAGAAACCGTTCCAAAACAGATCGCAGTCAAAGCTGAAGTTCAGCGGCTGAACACAGCCAGGGCAGAAAGATTCGAGAAGTCGATAAGGTCGCACGCTCGCAGTCGATATGCCCGTCGATTCGTATTGATAAAAAAAAATACAATCGAAAGCGAGAGCGGATAATTATACAATTTTTTAAAATTATAATACTATTTTATAAATGTAATTGTACTCTTGTGCAAGAGAAAGCAAAAACTTCCTTTTGCTAAAAATTTTCATTTTTCAAATGTGTTTCAATGTCCGAATGAACCCTTTTACATTTTTCTATTACGTAATAACGAATAAATGTACTAAACGTATGAATCCTATTAAGCCAACAAAGTTAAATCGAATTAACCTAATTTGCTTGAAAAATGCACGTGAGGTTAACAACGTAAGGTTATCACTAAAATTCTCGATGCACATGTAAATATATCGATCGTCTTAGCAATTTCAATTTAAGCTGCAGACGACTTAAATATTCCAGTCTCGTTCTCGAGATACATGAAGTATAAGCGTAATTTAGGAGATCGCGCCAAAAACACTTATAGCCTACATATACACGCTCGAAGACGATGTCTTTGTGCACGAATCAAGACCGAGTCGCCCAAATTGCAGCCTTCGCGCGCGCGTAACACGCAATCATATCGTTAAAATATTTAGAATTGCTAATAAAACTATTTCAACAACGCGTAAGTCATGTCGCGGAACCGCTCGAAAATTCATCGACCCGAAGTCTCCGTTCAGCGCCGCGCGCGGAAATATCAGTCCAATAATCATTGTTAAACGCAATACCTCGGTAGCAAATTTCAACGATCCTTTTCGCATCGATCATACCGTGTCGCCATCTACCGATCGGGTGGGACTTGAATTTTGAAGGAAAGATCGCGAGCGAGGTTACGGTCGAGTTCCCCGTGCGACGCGACGCACCGTCGCCCACCAGCGGTCGGCCCCAACAGCGATGCGCGGCTCCCTTGCATGCCGCTTATATACCCCGGCTCCCCACCGCCAGGGCGCCAGCCAATGAATGCGAAGCGGCTCCCTTGCGTTCCGTATATATACCCCGGCTCCCCACCGCCGGCGCACCAGCCAATGACAACGCGCCGCTGCGCCGAGCGCTGATTGGTCGGCCTCTGTATCGGCCAAGAGTATAAATAGCGGCGCAAACAAGCTCCGTCGCAGACGGCGGGAGCAGCTCGGCCGAGCAGGAGCCAGGAGCACGGATGGGAACCTGGAAGATCTGGATTCTGGTAGGCAGCCGAGCGAGTGGAGGGGGCAGGACAGGTCTGGCGCTCAACGTTCGACCGGCGTCAAGCAGAAGTGGGAAGAATATAGCGCTACCTCCCACCCTACCCCCACCCCGCAACCGGCTGCCTGGCAGGCTGGCAGAGCAGAGCTCGCATCACTGATGTAGGAGTTAGGAGTCCTTGCTACTTTTGTTAAGACCTGATGCGTGTTTCTTGTTAAATTTTCTATCTTTTCGTCAATTTTGCGTCAACAAGCGGCGAGTCAATTGATTCCTTTGCTTCTCAATTAACCTCCGGTTACATGATGCGCGACGTCGAATAATCGCGATTACTTAATGTTTCAAAAATGAAATTCTGACGCCCGTGATGCGATAATACGTTTTCAGTTGACTGACAAGCTGATGTGAGAACAATTGTCTTCGGAAGTCGATGTATTAAATCGTATCGTTACTCGCCTCTCCCCTTCCCTCTGGATATCTCCTGGGTTCCTCGTGCCGCGGAATGCCGAAAACGGCGACTGCTCAGAACGTGCGGCCCAGTCGGCGCGACCTAACCTCAAGCTCGCTCGCTCCGCGGTGACGGGGACGTTCTCGCACTCTCGTTCGCGGCGTTATCGGCGTGTTAGCATGGCGGGCCCGCGATAATTAGCTCGCGCACGCCACGCGCGGAGATCCTCTTCCTCCCCCCAGGTAGGGACGATGGCCGACCTGGAGTACGCGCGGTTGTACCTCAGCCTGCAGCTGAACGAGGCGATCTGCTGGTGGTGCTACTACATCCGCGAGATCTCGTGGCAGCTGCTGATCGCCCTGCTGGCGTACCTCTGCGTCTGCGTCTTCCTCTACGCGGTCCTCAGGCGGGTGGGCCACGCCGCCTGGCAGCTGCCGGGCCCGCCCGGCAGGCTGCTCCTAGTCACCGCTCACCCGGACGACGAGGTCATGTTCTTCGGCCCGCTGGTCTACTGGCTCGCCCGCTCCGAGGCCAGCGAGATCTATCTCCTGTGCTTGTCCATGGGTACATGTCCACTGACGGTCGCCTCCGTCGTCCAGGATCGTCGACGATCTGGAGGAAACGACGGGAACAGACCAGGCTAGACGTGCACGCGAACGCTGTGTCTATTGATGTTTACCAGTGTGCTTGCAGGTGGGGACAGAAGGAGGATAGACGAGCTCTGGGCGTGTACGAAGGTGCTGGGGATCCCGGAGGCTAACGTGACGATCGTCATGTAAGTGGGGACCTACAGCGAATTGGGCAGCTTGCGCTGAATGCACACCAACGCTTTTTCAGAGTCGTTGGCGAGAATTATATGTCGGTCCTTTTTTCTCCACCCAAAAAGGAAAAGAATCAACCATGTAGTTCCGACGTCTGACTAACCACTGACAACTCATTGCAGACAGGATTTATGGACTTATATTTATGGTCATCTGAAGTATATGTCCAAAAGCTAGCCGAAAAACGATCCGTTCGAATGCTACACGGATCATTTTACTGGCAAGGCTTTCGCAAGCCTTAGTGCGCATTAGCGCAAGCTGCTGAGTTCGCTACTAGCGAGCATACATGTTCTAAATTATTTAAATATTTTCCTCTCGAGAAACATATTCGAACAGCATATTTAACGCCAGATGAACTTAATCTGGGTCTCGCAAGGTAAAAACTGGACAGTTTCATTCAGGCGTCAAATATGCGATGAAGATACGACGAAATAGAGGCAAATAACTTCTGCGTAACAGTCTGGCGAACGAATGTGCAGGAGTAGCGAGTTGCCGGACGACCAGGGCGTGCAGTGGCCGACAGACACAGTCGCGGAAAGCATCTTGCAGTACGTAGAGATGTACAAGATCAATGCCGTCGTGACGTTCGACAAGCACGGAGTGAGCCGACATAAGAATCACATCTCCTTGTATTTTGCGATCGCCGCTTTGTGCATAGAGAAGAAAGTACCTCCCTGTCAGTGTCATACTCGCTCGCTCGGCGTACAAATGTTTTAGCAGGCTTTCATAATGCGTCGGGTCGTGTTGCAGATTGCAAGCTGTACGTGTTAGAGTCCGTTAATATAATCAGGAAGTACATTCAGCTCTTAGATCTGCCCGTCAGCCTACTCTCAGCCCCGTACTGGTATCTGGTGACGTACGAGCAAAAGCGAACGATCAAAGTAAATCGGGGACGCGTTAATGGCGAGACAATCGTTACTTTAACGCCAGTCTCCTTTCTGACGTTGCCTTTTTCCCTTTGCAGAGCGCCATGGCCGCACACAAGTCCCAGTACGTCTGGTTCCGAAGGTTGTACATGATCTTTTCGCGATACACGTTCATCAACACCCTCCAAGAGGTCAGTGCCCTCGACCTGGAGCTGGACCTCCAGTTCGACGAGGACTAAATGTGGACGCAAACAGCTGTATAGAGTAAATGTAATTAACGTTCACGTGTACATACTTTGTCTACCATTGCAATGTAAATTACGTCAAACGAAAACTACGTACCAAAGCCATGAAACCTAGCTGATTAATACGAGAACTTGGAAATATATATGCAGAGACGATTTTAAGAGGGAAATATTTTTTTATTCATTAATATAATGGAATATACATTGTAATAATACTTTCGAACGAGAATGCGGGGCACGTAGTTTTTACGGCGCAACACAAATCAAATTTTCTTCCTTAAAAAAAACAGAAAATATGTACTGCGTGCCGTTTTGTCCTTCTCTACTATACAACCTTTTGCAGCTGCATATGAATTGAAGTTGTCATTTGATATGTGTATCGTTTTACTCATCAGGTGTGTATAATAAAATAATCTAGAATTATACGATAAATAAAAGAGCGTATTTCTAATTTCAGTTGCGGGACGCGTAAGGTTTTTTTCGTCCAGTAATCGCACACATTACGAAAATTAGCGGTCATCAAAAATCATTTGAGCAAGTAATAATATGTGGCGAGTCGAGCTCGCTATTGTACGTATATATTCTTTTATTTGTGCCACACAACATTAACGTGTAATGTAAAGTCATAGATTTTCGTTTAGACCGAAAATTCTTTCTACTTTGGCACAAGTAACGTGCATAGAGGAATTTATAACTCTCATTTCTCTTTCTAGTATTTGATAGCGGAATTGTACTATTTCGGAAAAATATATTGCTCTTTTCACAACAAGTCGATATTATACATGTACGCAGAATCTACGAGTATAATATGTATATAGATATATTCTTCCGTATGCACGCTGTTACGTTTTCGGTAACATTTAATTTCCGTGGAAAGCTGCTTAATGTGTATGTGAAAGACGAGCTTTTCCCTTATAATTGCACAAACGATAATGATTATTTCTTAGGAAACGTGCTGGAGAAATGTTGAAAGAAAATTTGATTAACAATCGTGTCTTAACATTGCGACGCACGCGGTTGTTTAGATTTTCTTTCATGTATCCTAGTCAATTATTTCCTTATTATTTTCCAATTTCTCCAGCATGCTTTAAATGTCCGTAATGTAACGAAAATATATGCTTAGTAGCCTAGTATGTAAACATGTGTATATATATAAAAAAACGAATCTCTTTCGTAAAAAAATCTCAGTACTGAAGACATAGTACGTGGTATAGTCCGAGAATTAGCCCTTAGTACCGAAAGATTAGACCGGCAGACGATCTGAAGTCGCGAACACTCGCATAACACTATTACGCACAATACAACGTGCGTGTGCGTACACCGAAGTGAAATAAAACGATATAGTTTCGAGTAAAAGTAAAAAAAGATGTGCGCCGAGTCTCGCGCATCTCGAACATGCGCGAGGCCAGATTTTAAATGCTTTTCCTACGAGTTTACGGAATGATATAGTCGCGAGCGTACAACTTACGCTCCTTAGAACCGAAGCTCCGCTCGAACGATCTCGATTTGAATCGAGCGATTCGCGCTGGAGACGAAAGTTTTATCGACAGACCGGTACGTGCTCCAATAAACTTCTTTGTTTTTACATAAAACGAAGTAGATGCTTACATACGATTACAGTTGCAGATAAAATGGACGGCATAGAGTTGGTTCCCGCAAGATCCTCGAATCAGTAGACTACCGTGACGGCGATAGACACACCGCGATGAGCAGAATACCGAATTTAGGTACATAGAGAAGAGGAAGTGGTATCCGGAAGATATTTCCAATTGGACGTAAGGATGGCCTACGCGTGAACTTGAGTCCAAGTGCTGGATGGACGACAGGCTCCTTACAGGGGGTTCATAGTGAAGATCTCGCGGGCCGTGTCCTAGAACCTGTCTTTACCGCGATGAGAGCCGAGAGTACCCATTCCCGGCTGCGGCGAGTCCGGATCGGCCGCGTCCTGCAGGTACTGCAGCTCCTGCAGCTCCTGGAACTTCTCGTGGTCTCGTATGTGCGCGTAGTTGGCGGACAAGCACATCAGGTAGTGTATCAAGCTCAGAATCACGAGCATGGTCGCCACGGTAGCCAGGATGAACATCACCTCGGCCTTCTCCACAAAATCCTTGCAGAAGAGCTTGACTTCTTGGGGACCACACACCTGCAGGTCCTGCGCCCGTGTGTTATTTGGAAACATGAAGCCTGAAATAGCGTTTGCTTGCTCTTTATCAATTCTTCGAGTTTTGCACGATAACGAATATTTAATATGCCAAATGATTATGGACACCTTGCAAAGTTGATACTTTCTTAGTTTTAAATTATTTGCGTGGACAATTGCAGCGAATTACTTTACTTTTGTATATTTCTGTGAATTAAGAAAATAAAAAGATTAACACATTTATTTCACGCCAGCACATTAACCAATGATTAACCAATGTAAAAAATATTAACTTTGCAAGGTGTCCATAATTTGGCGCGATACTGCAAATACTATTAATAAACTAGCATCGAGTAACCATCTTACAATTTTTTAATAGGAGGAACTATGTGTGCACCTGAAGAAATCCTTGACGGCACGTGAAAACTTACCGAATTGAGTGAAATCAATGCAGTCATCGAGAGACTGGACACGTGGATTGTTGCACAGGCCCCAGAATATGGTAAATATCAGCGTGGTGATGACCAGGAATGCGAATATCAGGAGCCAGGCTATTTGCAAGATGTAGATGATCGTCATAAACTGAAAAGAATTAAGACGTATACGTTGAGACAAACGAAACCGCTTGCTTGGTCGTCACCGTCATCTTCCCGCTGATAGGAAATAACCGAGGGATAAACCGCTGACCAAGATCACGTACACCAACGCCTACTGATACCCAGTGGACATTACTTTATCTTGTTATCTTACTTTATAATGCCCCAGCAAGGCCTAATGCCCAAAAAATGCCTAGTAATGCCCAATAATGCTGCAAATCTGCGCGCAATACCCTCGGTGGTTTATCTCTCGGAAATAACGAAGGATTTCACGTTCTAATTTACTTACAACGGCGCAGGAGATACGTCCACCCACGCGGGATCTCCACGCACGGTAGACCTTGTGCCTCGTAGCACCGGTCGCGAGACAGCCGACGCACAAAATCATGAATCCCAGAGCCGCCATGCAAGCACCGATCGACGCGAACACCAGCTGCACCGTTGCCACCCATCCGAGGCGCAGATGAAACACCTGAATTGATTTCGCAACATGAGATCTGCAGAATCTCCACTTGGAAGAAGGTAAGAGTAGCGGGTTCCCGCGCGGTTTACCTGATCCATCATAAGAGTACACAATATTGCACCTCGGTACATGGTTCCGCAGAAGATCCCGACTCCCAGGCAACACATGATGGTCGCAATGAGAGTCGCGTACGGCACTCTGGCCATGCAGTCGTTGCACATGTTTCCTAAACCAAAAAAAAACCCCTTATATCTGTCATTTCGTCACGGGGGGCTGGGTATTTAATTGAAATTAATCACAGCCGGGTCTGATTGTGATGAAAATGTAGGTATAACGGTATGGCAATGCAGCGAAGTAAATGTTATACAAAAAGACACATGAACCGCAGAGACAAGTCGCGACGAGATCCAAGGAAGCGTAGGGAGCAACTTTGATCGCGTCTACGTTTACCCGCGGGACAACTCGCGCTATTCGCAGCCCAATGGCACTCTCGGACACTCACTGCAACCTCGGTTCCTCGAATTCAGGCCGTGCAGACTGCGCTCGGAGAATCTATCTAGACTAACGTTACTGCCCAGGTTGCCGCGCAGCGGCAGGCTCTCCCTGGCCTGACGTAGCTCGCGCAGCCTCACCATTTTCAGGAGCGGCGGTCCGGGCAGTGACAATAAACTAGGAACGCGCGGCGCGAAGCTGGGCGTTCGGCCAGTGACTAAACCGCGTCAGCGACGATGAGTAATCACTTATCTGCCGCTCGGTCAGATAACGCGCGACACGCGTCCGCGCGTACTCGCTAATTGCTCGCTAGTCCATTCACTAGCCCGGCGACGTGGACGCACCGGGACGCCTTCGACGGAAATAATTAGCGCGCGGCGTTTATTGTCGCCGACATGGCTCCTTGGCTCGCGCGCGTCGTCTACAGTGCGTGAACCAAGCCTGTCGTAAGGAGCAAGAGAGAACCATAACCTTTGTGCATCGTCTACAGTGCAAGCCTGGAGTAAGGAGTAGGAGTAAGGAAATAAATCCATTTTATTTCTTACTCTTAGGGCCAGTTTCACAAACGTCGGTTAACTACTAACCGAAGGTTAACTGATCCTCTGTCTCTTTTTAGAGAACAAGATAGAAAAAGATAGGGCGTTGACTGAACTCTGGTTAACAGTTAACCAACGTTTGTGAAATTGGCCCTTAGGGCCAGTTTCACAAACGTCGTTTAACCGCTAACCCATGGTTAGTTGATCCTCTGTCTCTTCTTGGATAACAAGATAGAGAAAGATAGGAAGTCGATTGAACTCTGGTTAACAGTTAACCGACGTTTGTGAAACTGGACCTTACTTCAGCTCTTAGGCTTACTCTCGGAGAATCAAAATGCCATCAATCAGTGTTACAAATATTTTAAAAATTATGCCTGTATCTCAGCTGCCTTACACCAAAAGCTAGAAGTTGGGGCTCTCTTTTACTCCTTACTCCACGTATTGTAGACCGGCGCTAAGACTGTCTCAGTCGTAGACGTAGGGCAAGGCAGAGAGAAACGCAAGTCGTGAAAGGCTATTGTATACGACTCTCTCTGCCTTGCCCTACGTCTACGACTGAGACAGTCTTAAGCGTTTACGGATTGTCCTTTGCCATCAGCCTTACAAATATTTTAAAAATTATGCCTGTAGCTCAACCTCCTTACGCCGAAAGCTAAAAGTTACGGTTCCCTCTTACTCCA